AGACAGACCCATTAGTTCAGAGCCCCCATCAAATTTACACAGGAGCCCTCCCTGCCAGGTGCTCTTGCCTGAGTTCCACTTCAACCCCTCACCTACCTTTCAAAGGCAGCTACACCCGTTCTATGCTTACTCTGACCTCCAATTCTGTCATCTCCACATCAGCTCAAACCCAGTCTCCCCAATGCTTGTTACTCTGCTGAGGGCCTCCCACAGTGCTCTGAAGGAGCTGGATACCACACTTATTCCCTCAGAGCAGGACTGGAGGCTCTTCCCTGGCAGCTGGGCTTCTCTGTGGGACTTAGGGCACTTTGCTTCCTCCCTGGGGCCTCAGTTTCCCTGTCTGTACAATTGGAAGGCTGGACCAGATGGTTTCCAAGGGTGCTCAACTCTCAGGCCCCATGACCTAGATGCCCAATGTGCCTCACTCTTGTACCTTGAGGGCCTTTGGGGCCAGGGGTGTCTAGGGGTGGTAGGAGTGACGCCCTCCTCAGGCAGGGGCTGTCCCTACTGCAGAGACCAGGAAAGGGAGTTAACCAGGTGTGGTGACAGAGATGGGTTTTTGGAGAGGAACTCTGCCTGGGAGGGGGAGAGGATACCAGGTCACCCAACCCCCACCCAATTCCAAATCCTTCCTAAAGGCAGGGGTTGGCTTAATGTTATAAAGCCCCAATTGGCATCATGTCATCTCCTCTCTAAAACCTTTGTTGGCTCCTCAGCAGGGCATAGGCAGTGGGCTGCATTTTGCCATTTAAAGTTTCTGGGCCCCAGTGCAATTGCTTTTCCTAGCTCGTGCTCAAAATGTGTCTTTCAGCCAGGCTGCTGGCATTTCTATCTCAACATCCCTCTGCTCATACCACCTCAGGGCCTTTGTTCATAGACCCCCTTCCTGGAGTTTGACCTTTCACACCCTCCAAGCCTTGGCTCACGGATCATCCTCTGCCTGGCCTCAGCTGCCTCTGGGTTTCTTTTCTCCATACCCTTTATCAGGATCTTTGCAGACATGACAGGAATTTCTGTTTGAGTTCTAATCTGCTTTTCTAGCTCCTGAATGAAACCAAGTTCAGCTTATACATTTCTGTGCACTCCTCACTGCCCAGCATGGTACCTGCACATTGTCGATGCTGAGGAGGTTTTGAGAGAGGCTCTCAGTTGAAGCTAAGGAAGTGGTGGTGCTGGAACCTTTCCCTTGGCTGGAGGCTGGGGAGCTACATGAGTGAACCTCCCCAGTCACCTCAGATGCCCACATCCCATCTCTCTAGAGACCTGCCCATCACCCAGGCCCTGAGACCTTGGAGGATGGAGTCTGTGGCACTGGGAGTAGCAAGCCTGGGGATCTGGCTCTGACTCACCCAGTATGTGTGGGGTTCTCCCCTGACTCATTTCCCTTCTAGTGGTCTGAGCCCATGGAAGGGAGACTCAGGTCCTTCCTCTGCTCAAAGTTGCTCTTGGGAATGGTCCCAAAAGTTGTAGGCTGAAGCACTGACTCATACATGGGTATAATGACTGATGGGTTCTGAGGCCACAATTCTTATGCTTTCACTGAAGGAAGAATGCTGCAGTGGTGGGATTTCTGGCATTGTGACTGAGAGGGGACACATCCTAGCACCCTTCAGAAGGCAAACTGTCATCCAGTCTCTGCTGGGGTCAGCCACCAATGCCTGGGCCAGGGAGGTGTGTCAGGGGTTACCCAGAGCTGTCTGAGGGACAAGCCCCTGTTGGAGCACAGGATATGGAGAGGCACCAGCCCTGACTCTAGGAGGCTGAAGAGTGGGTGGTCCTGTCTGTCACCAATCAAGACTTCTCAGTGAGGAGAGAGGAGAGAGAAAAAGACAGGAGGGGGATGAGGACAGGAGGAAGGTGGCGATGAAGAAGCCAGACAGAAAATGCATCTGTGGACAAGGGCAGTAGGAGCAGGAACTGAGCTGGGAGGCAGCTGGAGGAGACCAGAGGAGGCTGGAGGAGGTGGAGGCTGAGGTGCCTGTGCCCCATCCCCCCCAGCATAGGGTGGGGCAGGGTAGCTCCCTCCCCATTTCTTGCTTTTCAGCACTCCCCATTCCTGGCCTGGGTGGCTGAGGCTGGGGTACTTTTCATCACTGGGTGTCCTTTGGGCACCATGTGGTCACAGAAAGCCTATTGGGCTCAGGGAGCTCAGACAGCGTTGAAGGGGCTCCACTGGGTGTGGAGAACAATCCTACATGGTGCCATGCCCTGGGCAATCCCTCTCTGGGGCCAAGCTCAGGAAACCAGAGCCCATATAACCCTGAGATGGAGAGCGTCTCTCCCGGGTGGAGTTCCCAGAGACCCCAGCCTGGGGTGGCAGGAGCACAGCCTCCTTGTTTCCTAGTCTGGAGGCCACTTCTGGGACCCATCCCTTTTCTATATCTAAGGAACCCTCCACAGCTCCTGCCAGTCTGGGTTGGGGTCTCAGGTCCCTCACTTACCTGCAGATGCTGGTTCTGCCAACATAGCCAAGGTCAAAGCCAAGGCCAGGACAGGGGCTGGGATTCGGGGCCGAGGATCTGCGTGCATTGCAGCGGGCTGGCAGCCGGACTTGAGCGCCAAAGTCTCCAGTTGAGAGAACTCGGCTCTTCTGGTGTGGGCTGGGGCTCCCAGTGCACATAGTCTACTTAACTCTGGGGGCGGAGCAGCAGCCCAACCAGCACTCGGATTTCAGGCCCGGGCTCCCTGCCTGTCCCCACCCCCCCCACCCCCCGCTTCGCCCCCCCAACAACCTTCTTAAAGGGCCCATGCTAGGCTACTCCTTCCTATGGAGGGGTGAGTGGACCCTTACAGCTCAGTCAGACCCAGACCCCACCCTGAATATTTGGGACCAAGTCCCAGAAGAGATTAGACCTATATGAATTAGGGTGGCCCAGTTACTTTTCTTCCTTTTGCCCTTGCAAGGATTGGAGGCAAGGTCTCATATTAGGGCTAGGAGGAAGGACCCCACCCCACATACTGCTTTTGGGCCTCTTTGCTTCTGAGGTCACCTCAGGATTCCATTTGGGCAGAGAGGCATCACCCTGGGTCCTACACCTGCTCTATGCCCACTGGTGTTGCAACCTTGACCTTCCCCACTCTGCAGATCCTCAGTTTTCTAATATGTAGAGGAGAGATGTCCTACACTCACCCAAAAGGCAGGAGGGGTTCTCAATTCCGTGGTATCATTTGCCTTAGAATAGCCTTGCAAGGTGGGTAGAACCACCCCTTTCCCCATTTCATGGAATAGGAAACAGGCTGAGAGCAGGAAGTGGTTCTTTCAAGGACCCCAGGTGGAGATTAGGTCCCTGACCATTTGGTACCCAAATCCCAGGCCCCCTGACTCCTGAATTTGGTTGTTTCAACTTCCTGAGGCTGCCTCCTGAAAATCTGGCCCTGGATTTAGCTTCTACCTAACAGTTTCAGGCTGGAGCCTGGCTCCCTCCCAGGCAACAACCTCATCCTGTCCCAAACAGGAGTGGAAAAGGCTATATTATTGTAGAGTTCCAGCACCTAGAGGCTCTGCCTGCTCTCTGCTGGTCCTGGCATCAGCATTGCCTGGCCTCAGTTTTTATGTCCAGCGAATGGGTGGACGCGTACCCCTGCAGTGCTCTCCCTTCTTGTATCAGAATTCCTCTATCACACCTGCCTGCTTAAGCCCACCCTCAACCCCATCCCACCAAGTACTCTCTCCCCAGCCTCTCCCCTTGACCAGTAACATTCTCACCATGTGTACAGCATTTCACAATTTGCAACAAAATTAAGCCCCATTTGAGATGAAGAAACTGAGGCTTAAAGAGCTTATGGGACTTGAGTGAGTCTACACAGCTGCTAAGAGGTGGAACCAGGTCTTTTGATCCCAAGCCCAGCACTCCTACCACCAAGGCACAGTGTGATAGTGCCAGGTCTGTGAGGTGGTTGTGAGCACTGGTCTTGAACTCAGCCCTGATTTAAAATTTCAGATTTTTCACTTAACTGTCCAAACTTGAGCAAGTTGCTTTACCTTTCTGGGGCTCAGTTTCCTCATTCCTAAAATTGTATTTGTGAGGACTAAATGCTTTAATGTACTTCAAGTGTCTAGCCCAGTGCCTGGTATACAGCAAGTGTTCAACAAATACTTGTCCTTTCTCCTCTTTTTCTGTTGTCCTGCTGCATATCCGCGTTTGTTTGCATACAGCTTCACACTCTTCATCTCCCTTGAAGGAAAGCCCTTTGAAGGCTGAACTTTCCCCTTCAGAGGCAGCTGCATATAGTAGACGCTCAATAAATGCATTGTGGGGTTGACTAGGATGCCAATTGTTGCTGCTCTGTGGGGATTTTGGCAAACCTAAGAAGTCTCATCTAGGTCACCCTAGAAGGCCTGGGGTGAGGCTGTGCCCAGTTGGTCTTAGTGGCTTAGCTGATTCTACAACTTGCTCCTTTTTTCCCCTTCTCCCCTAGTCAGCAAGACACCTGGTCCTAGTTAGGGGTTAATTTCTGGCCAAATGTAGGCCTGGGGCAGGGGATGGCAGCTGCTGGGAAGACTGTGTTTGGAGGAATAGAGCTTTCATTTTAGGAATGAAAAAAAAAAGGTTGGAGAAGGGCTTTGCCTCTTTATGAATCACAAACTTGGGGGGAGATTTCCAGCCATCCCATCTTCCCATTCTTCCCTCTCTCCATGTTCTGCCTGATTCCTACCCACACAGATTTACCCACCAGGAGTCCACTGTCTGTGGAGCTGCCCGTTGCAGTTCAGGATGGAGTCAGGATTAGCTTGAAGCCTCCCTTGCCTTGTCGCTAGCTAGGGGGAGAAACAGGCCTGGAAAAATAATGGCAACCCATGCTTGCTTCTCTGCTGGGCCTCCCAGTTTATAAAACATTCACCTGGTCTCTTGACGACCCTGAGAAGTGTGTGTGTTAGGCGACCATGCTTCCTTTTCACTGATGAGAAAACTGAGACTATAATGGAAAAGTGATGCTGGGGCTCTGGCACATACAAGCCTGGCCTTTGCTCAGCCTGTAGCCCAGCATTTGAACCCCGGACCAGTGCTGAGTGGCATCATGCCAGGCAGACTGGCAGAAAGTTGGGGCCCTGCATTGCTTTTGAACTGGTTCCTGACTACTTCCTAGTATCTCAGAGCAAAATCTCTGGACTGGGCAATGCTTGCTGCCTGCTCCTCAATTGTCCCCTCTCAACCTCCTCAGCATGCCCCTGAGACCCCGAAGCTCTGGCATCCTCAGGCCTTCTCCCTCTGCATTCTGACCTTTGCCATGACTTTCTCTGGCTTGGGTTGGCCAGGTATCCTCAGTGACCATCTCTGACTGCTCCTGCTTCCCTGGCTACATCTCAGCTTCCTCCAGGAAGCCCTTTCAGCCCTCCTTCCCATCATTCACCTCCTTTTCCACAGACTCCCTGGAGAAGTGATGTCTCTGTATTCTCCTCATGCCTAGCTAGGTCAGGAAGTCTGACTCAGGGTCTCCCCCGTCCCCTTGACTGACTCTTTTCCAGCAAAGCACAGGACAGCACTCCCAGTTTGGGGAGAGGGAGACTCAGAACACATTCAACAAAGAATAAAGCAGGATGCCCACAGTCCAGGGGTGGAGAAGGATTCCAAATTTTCTGAAGCTACACTGACCTGTGGTATATGCTGCCTCAGTTTCCTCAAGAGATCTGCTTCTGGGAGAACAAACAAGAGAGCCCAGCATCACTCCTTTCTCTGCAAGCAGAACTCAGCCAATCATGTTGGTCAGGCCCCCCTGGTCACGCTTACCCTCAGTGCTTCTGGGATTAAGAATGCCTGCTCTGGTAGTGGCTGTGGCTTGGTCCTGCCCTTAGCCACGGCCTGGCACTCTGAGTGACTCCATATTTTGCACCCTGAACACCTGGGCCCCACCCAAGGAACCTGTGACCAAAGCCAGCTTGCTAGTAAATGGTGAGTGCTTATGCCCAAATGGGATGGTACCTGAGCTGGGGTGTACTTTCACTATCCAGGTCCTGCCCTCAGGGAATTGGCCTTCTGCCATGAAGAACACAGAACCCAGACCACTACTGTGCAAAGAGACACAGGTTTTTGTCCCTGATTCTGTGCCCCTGCAGTCTCATGGGCAGGAGCTCCACATCAGCAGGCCCCAGGCCTGGGCCTCTGACAGGGGCCTCTGCTAGGAGTGGTCTTGCTCCTGCTCTAGGCTGAAGGCATTGATGGAGCTCCTCCAAGTGTAGAGGCCAGGCACAGGAGGGGTGGGGCAGCTATTCCCAACAATTACAACATTCAGGAGCTGAAATATCATGTTTGCTGCCCGCAGCAGCCGTCTGTGGGCTGGAGGCCAGTGGCAGAGTTTTGCCCTGGCCAGGGACAGGGTCTGAGCCATGCCCCAAGCCCTTCTGGACAGACAGACGGGGGGTGGGAGGACCCTCTCAGAGCCTCTGTTCCCAGGAGCAGACACTCATCATGCATACCACATCCACAAAGGCTGTGGCTTCAGTGGCTGTGACCAGCTGGCCACAGCTGACTCCCTTGGGGTTGCACTATTTCTAAATAGTGGTTCATGTTGTTAACCCTGCTGTGCCCCACCAGTGGACACCCAGCTACCTACAGAGAAAGCCTTGGGAGGGGGAACAAACAGTCCCTGTTTGGATGGAAAATCTATGCACATACTTGCTCAGGCTCTAGCATAGGGCAGGCACATTTTGGGGACTGTGGAGGGCTTTCCCAAAAGGATGAGAAATACCTCCTCAGGACTATGAATGAAGCTTCAGTGGATGTTAGGGGACGTGGGTCTGAGCTGGCAGCTGGGCAGGGCAGTGGAAAGAATGTGGGGTTAGGAGCCAGAAGTCTGATTCTGCCAAGCCTTTCTGTGTGGCCTCAGGTGAGTCACTTCACCTCTCTGGACCCTAATCTGTAAATTGTAGAACCACTGTAGCACTTGGATGATGCTCTCCAACAGAGGTGCTAGGGCTTCATAAACTGTGAAGGACAGTGCCTGGTGGTTATGTTGATGGGAAGTATTGATGGCAGGGTCCTGCTCTTTGCATGACTCCTGGGAGTCTCTTGAAGGAAAGGCAAGACTGACAACCAAGAGCCAGCTGGAGCCAGCTGGCAGGGCTTAGCTGTGTGGGACTTAGTGGGTATGCCACTCTACACAAGAACAGAGAGCTTGTATTTTGGCTAAGTGTTCTTGTGCAGTAAAATACCTGTGGTAGCCAGCCTCCAAGATGTCCCTCAGTGGTCTTCTGGCACTCATGCCCTTGTGTAGTCAACTTCCACATTGAATAGGGCTGACCTGCATGATCAATAGGGCATTGCAGAAATGATGGAGAATGACTTCCAAGACAAAATTATAAAAGACATGGAAGTTTCTGCTTTGCTCTCTTCTGATTGCTTGCTCTGGGGGAAGCCAGACACCATGGCCTGAGGATAGTTAAATAGCCTGTGGAGGACCCATGTGGAGAGGAACTGAGTCCTTTTCCAACAGATAGCATCAACTCACCATTCATGTGAGTGGCCATCTTGAAAATGGATCTGCCAGCCCCATTCAGATGACTGCAGGCCCTACTTGTGACATCTTGACTGCCACATCTTGACTTGGAGCCAGAACTATCCAGTTAAGCCACTCTTAAATTCCTGACCTACAGAAACAGCCTTAGATTTTTTTTTCTTTTAAAA